GTTTGGCAGACATTTCATTACCCAACTAGGTAATTTCATCAGTACTAAAAGATGTTATGCTGTTAGAATGGAACTGATGAGGTTACCTAGTTAGGTAATGAAACATCTGCAAGAAACAGCCAAGCTCAGAGAGCACCAAGGACCTCACTGTCAGAAGTGAGCCTCAGCTTCAGGCACGAACTCTGTTTCTCAAATTACATTTTTAGGGGGATTTTGGAATGTCTCCCCCGATTGACTTCCCTGATCCGAGGAATTGGTGATCCTTTGGTGGCTGGCTACGCTAGAGCATACCTCTGCAGGGTAAGATTTTTTTTTCTCTCTTACCAATCTAGTTTTTACAGAATAATAGAAAAAATAATTATTGAATTAATAGAAATATTGAATTATTGAAATAATTATTGACTATTTATCAAATTGAGTCCATGGACCATCGTTTCAAATTTTTTCTTCTTTTAGCAAAAACCAAAAAGGTCATAAAACCAGGATGTCCAACTTTGGCAACTTTCAGATCTGTGGATTTCAACTCCTAGAATTACCCAGCCAGGTATGCTGAGGGAGTTGAAGTCCGCAAGTCTTAAAGTTGTCAAGGTTGAACACTCCTCCCATAGAGGTTTCTAGTCTTTTTTTTAAAAAAAAAGGTCATAAAACCAGGATGTCCAACTTTGGCAACTTTCAGATCTGTGGATTTCAACTCCTAGAATTACCCAGCCAGGTATGCTGAGGGAGTTGAAGTCCGCAAGTCTTAAAGTTGTCAAGGTTGAACACTCCTCCCATAGAGGTTTCTAGTCTTTTTTTTTAAAAAAAACGCTCATTCGGACAGTTTTAGGATTCATTCCTCCATTATTTGAATACTCTTCCATCTTGGTGCATATAGTCATCTTCCTGCCTTTATCATATGCAAAATAAACCCGCTTTGATGCGCTGACCCCTTTTTATTAAGCCTTCAAAGAAGTACAAAAATGCGCAGAACTGTATTAAGGGGAAAAAAAAACCAGATCTCATTCATTTGGTTCCTCAAACAGGTTGGGATGGAAGTAGCTCCCCATCTGAAGGACAGCCTCAACAAGAACTTTTTTGACTTCCTTCTAACCTTTAAGCAAGTAAGTAAACGGCCTTATCGCAGCAGAATCCGCACCTGGATCCTTTCCTCAATAAGCTTCTTTCCCGCCTCTTAGTTCAGACAGAAAGGGGTTGTAGCTATTGACAGGTTAGAGAATCTTGGAAGTAGAAAAACCAAGGCGAAGATGCTGAGCTTGTCGATCAGAAAGGTCGGTGGTTCAAATCCCTAGCGCCACGTAACAGAGCCATTCCTTGTCCCAGCTTCTGCCAACCTGGCATGTTTGAAAGCATGTGAAAAACGCAAGTAGAAAAATAGGGACCACCTTTGGTGGGAAGGGAACAGCGTTCCATGCCCCTTCGCTGTTTAGTCATGGTGGCCACATGACCACGGAGACATCTTTGGACAGCGCTGGCTCTTCGGCTTTGAAACGGAGATGAGCACTGCCCCTTAGAGTCGGGAACAACTAGCACATACGTGCGAGGGGAACCTTTACCTTTCTCTTTAATTACATTCCACCCTGGAGCTCTGCCTGGAAGCAGGACAGGTGAGAAACAGATGTCAGTTTTGCTCATCTCCACAGTCATTTTCTTTAGCGTAGATGGACTGACCCCATTGGGAATTCTCCAATTTCTATGACTTTAAATGCTCTCACCTCCAATCAGTTTCCCCAGAGTTTTGCTTGAGGCCAGCATCCCATGCTTTGGCTTTAACGGTGAATCCTTCCTCTTTTTCCACCACTTTTTGGACTTTGTGGTGACCGTTCACCTTGGATGTCCTCCACAGGTTCAAGGGGATACAGTCCAGAACCAGCTGGTGGCCCAGTGTGTGGAGGTTCCATTGTATCTAACACTTTATTCCCCGGCAATTGATTGGATTCTACAATGCATCGCTTACCGAGCTGCGGAGGTAAAAATAAATAAATAAATAAACTCGTTCTGAAAATGTTGAGTTGGAAGGGAAGAGAATAGAATAGAATAGAATAAGTGAGTTGGAATGGAATGGAAGGGAAGGGAAGGGAATAGAATAGGCTAGAATAGAATAACAGAGTTGGGAGCGACCTTTGTTGTTGTTGTGGGGGAAATAGGAGATCTGTTGGATGTTCCTTATAAAAATAATAAAGGCGAGATTTAAGCATATGAATAAAATAATAATCATAAGCCCATAGTCACTCCTCCTCCCATGGGTTCAGCTTGCTGGCTGGGGAATTCTGGGAGTTGAAGTCCACGCATCTTAAAGAGGCCAAGAAACACTGGCTCAGCTGCTAATATTCAGCAGAAGAAGAGTTAATTTGGGGCTGGGGCTGGGGGGTGGGACAAGGAACTGACAACATTTCTCTCAAGGCTGGGCTTACTTTACAGCTGAAGAGTTCCCTAACCCACCTCAGTTTGCGTTAGTTCAGTAGAATTTCTTTTAAATCTGAAGCATGGCAACCCCAGATATTCTGCAGACAGCCTTGCAAAGGCATTTGAGACCATTTGAATGCAAGAGCCTCCTTCCAAACTCCCTGAGTATAATGTACCCTTCCAATTTCCACAGCCCAGCTTGTCTCTTGGCACAAAGCAAAGGAACTTGTTATCCTACTTTGGAATCCTCCTGGGTGCCATTGTTCACACTCCTTTTTCACTTTTGTCATACGGATGACACTTCCTTTTATTTTTAAACTCCGGGCCGGCTTAACATGATCGCTCCTTTAAGACGATCTGGAGCAAGACCTCGGATTTCTAATGAGACACTTCAGCGTGCCAACTTTTGTGTGGAAAAGCGAGCCTGTGGAAAGACAAAATCTTAACACGAGCTGAGATTTTTACCTCAGTTTTTCCAGGTGTCTTAAAAACAACAACCACAGAAATAAGTTTTGTTTCTCCTATCATAAATGGAAAAAAAAAGCAAGCCCATTGCAGGTAATTGATTCGTTTAATGACCCTTGGGGATTCGCTTCACAATCATGGGGATTTGCTTAATGCACCATTAATTCCAAAAATACCCATTGCAGACAATCAATCTGCTTAATGACCATGGGTTTGCTTAACGGCCATGGTGTGATTTTCTTAATGACTGCCGCAAAATATTGTGAAGTTGGGTTGGTCCGATTAACAGCTGGGAAAACTTAGCAACTGTAGTTCTGAACTCAATTGTGGTCGTAAGTTGAGGAGCACTTGCACCAGATGCTTATGGTTTGCCTGTATTTATTTTTTTATTATTTTTCTGTTTTTTCTTTTGTAGGCCTTGTTGACCGAGATGATGGAGAGATGCAGGAAGTTAGGCAACAAGTAAGCGCTGTGCTATAAGTCGGTTTTTTAAACTCTGCTTTCCTTCTTGGCATACAGTAAAAAACTTATTATTGTCAACTCTGTCTGACAGCTGATGAGGCTACACTACAGATGTTTTGAATTGGAGCCTTCTTTTTAAGCCCAATTAAGCATACACTGATCAGAGATTTATGTCCTTTATCCACACCTTAGGCGGGATACACCTTTGCTTCGGTATATATTTACAAGTAGCACTCGACTTACAACAGTTTTTTTTTATTTTTCCATTTTCATAACATATAATCACATGTATACTATTACATAGCCAACATCTATTATGTTTTATTAAATGTTTACATCAATTCATCTTACCATCAACTCCCAAAAACAATTATTGGCTCTTCTGCTCTCCATACACCATATTTGTACCTTATCCATCACTTTCTTCTCCCTCTCTCCTCCCCTTTCCTACCTCCTTTCTTCCCTCTGTCATCCTTCTCTTCTCTACTTCCCCTTTCTTTCTCTTCTCCTCTCTCCCCTTTCCACTCTTCATTTCTCTCCTCCTCTCCCCTCCCCCCGCCCTCTCTCCTATCCCTCTCTTCTTCCCTTAACCTCTCTCCTCTATTCCATACTCTTCATCTCATGTATTTGGTGTATTTCAGCTTCTGAGCAAGCTCCATTTTATGTTGAATTTATAATTCCTTTTCAATATACGTATTTAATTTTAACCTGTATTCTCCTCCTTTAAAAAAAAGAACAGAAAAGTATACATATATAGTCATTGTGCTTTTAAACACACACGCAAACACAAATACACACACACCCCGCCTATTTTGGGCTGAGATGTAGACCTGGTTACAATTCCCAGCTACTCTCATCATTATTTTTTTATAAAATTATACATCCTTACACCCCCCCGACTTACAACAGTTTCTTTCATGACGGTTCTAAGTTACAACGGCACTGGAAAAAAGTGACTTATGACCGTTTTTCACAGCTGCAACCTTTCCAGCATTCCCACGATCACGTGAACAAAATTCGGATGCTAGGCAACCGACTCATATTTATGACGGTTGCCGGATCATGTGATTTCCCCTTTTTGTGACTTTCTGACAAGCAAAGTCAGTGGGGAAGCCGGCTTCGCTTAACAACCAGGTCACTAACTTATCTACTGCAGTGATTCACTTAACAACTGAAGCAAGAAAAATGGGACAAAATTCGCTTAACAAATGTCTCGCTTAACAGAAATTTTGGGCTCAGTTGTGGTCGTAGGTCGAGGACTACCTGTATATAGAAACATGTTGCTTGGTGCGTGTATAATTCCACCCTCCATAACTGAGATGCAAAATGAAACCTTTCCTAGGCTGTTTCTTTGGTGCCTTCCCTTTCAGGTGGATTTATGCCTTGTTTTGGCACTCAAGTGTGACACTTGGTTTTGTTGTCATTATTCAGCTCTGGAATTCTTGCAACGGGCCAGAAACAGGGATGGAATCAATCCAAAAATTAAGTGGGGGAAAAGCTTTTACCAAATAAGCCACTAATGGTCTCTGGATGTGAAAATTCAGTAATGGCATAAATGTTGTATGTTCTGGGCGCAGCATAATGTAAAAAACCAAAATATAAAAATATCAATTGGGGGACTGTCTTGTAATGCTCTGAATAATATTTCTTCCAGCGCCTTGCTCTTGAATTCCGTAATGTCTGCCTTCAGAGCTGAATTTATTGCTGCAAGGGCGATGGATTTTATTGGCATGATCAAAGAGTGCGATGAATCAGGATTCCCCAAGGTAAATTCATCTGCATCCTCCCCACTCAAACCCTGTTATTGTTATCACCCACTTCAGTGTCTTCCCCAAATAATACCCTTAATTGTGCATTGTAGTCTTTTACTCCAGTAGTATTGTGGCCTGCCAATGGCCAGCAGAGTTAGCAGAAGATTTGGAGAGTGAGGAGGTTGGGGAGGACCATGGGCCAGTCCTGGAGTCTGGGGAAAGCTCTGATGAGGGCTCTGTGTTGGAGGCAGAGAGAGGGGCAGGGCCGTATGCCAGTTATCAGCTGCCTTCAGAATCAGACATCAGTGAGGCAGACGAACAGCTGGAGCCTGTTCCCAGTGTGCACATGCACAGAGGGGGGTGAGTTGCCAAACCATGTGTAAGCAGGATGTAACAAAGAGCAACAAAGATGATTAGGGAACTGGAGGCTAAAACATATGAAGAACAGTTGCAGGAACTGGGTATGTCTAGTT